TGAAATTACTGTTTTGTCATGAAGGATGTGAACAGATGTATTGAAGCCTTGGATGAACTTGCTTCACTTCAGGTAACAATGCAACAAGCTCAGAAACACACAGAGATGATTACAACACTGAAAAAAGTAAGTGATCTTGAGTCATGCAGATTTAAAAAATTTCTTCAAAACCATTTCATTAAAAAGTGACATTTTAAAAAACGAATTAGGAAAACAATCATGAATGTATATTTTGTTTTCTCAGATACGACGATTCAAAGTGAGTCAGATTATCATGGAAAAGTCTACAATGTTGTATAACAAGTTTAAGAACATGTTTTTGGTTGGTGAAGGAGATTCTGTAATCACACAAGTGCTGAATAAATCTCTGGCTGAACAAAGACAGCATGAGGAAGCAAATAAAACCAAAGATCAAGGGAAGAAAGGGCCAAACAAAAAGCTAGAAAAGGAACAAACAGGTATGTGATTAAAAATTATTTGTTGAGACTGCTTTTAAAAAATGTCTTTGATATATCTCTGTACCTTAATGACATTAAATTAGTAATAACATATTCGATCTTCTGTTTTTCTTTTTCAAGTTTAAATAGTTAAATACTACTAGTATTTGCTATTGTAATTGATTCTTGAACAATGTGGAGTTTAGGGGTACAACCTCCTTTTGCATTTGAAAATCCATGTATAACTTTTGACTCCTCCCAAACAAAGTCAATTAACATATTTTCTATATGTATTATAATACTATATCAAAGTATGCTAGAGAAAAACGTTACTGAAATAAGGACAGTATTTATTGAAAAAGTCTACATATAAGTGGACCAGTACAATTCAAACCCATGTTATTTAAGTGTCAACTGTACTAGTGGTAGTTATTTTCTTTTCATTTAAATTAGGAACAAATTCTAACCTACATAAAAGTAGAAATGAACTTCTCATGTCTCCCACCACATAGCTTCAGCAGTTATCAATACATGATCATTGCTCTTTAATACTCTTGTCAAATTTTTTCTGTGACACCCCTGAAGATTATTTTGAAGCAAATTCTAGATATGCCATTTAAACCATAAATATTTTAGGATATATCTGTGATGTACTCTTAGAATTAGTAGCATTATCAATTTGCCCAATACCATGTTACTAAATGTTTTAGCAGCAGCTGCTTTAATGAAGAAACCAACGTTCAAAAGGAGTTACTAGGGAATGATACTGGTCCTCTTAGAGATTTGTTAATGAAATAAGATTTACATGGACGCCCTCATTGTTTATTTAGTAATAGGGCACAAAATCATGTTAATTAGGAAATACTTTTTTTGTTCTAAAACACCAATAATGATAAATAAGAGATTTTACTTTTTCTAAGAACTAGAATAAATCATAATGCTCTAAAGAGTTGTACCTCTTGTTAACAGTAACAAATGGAATAATCAGATTAATGATGTTTTCTATAACCATAAATATATTTAGTAACCCTGATTCTTATTGTGTGCCTCAGCTGCCATAAAGATTACAGTGTAATTTCAAATACAATACATTAAGTATTAGAAACTTCAGGGCCATGTTTTATTTTTGACTTTTGGATCTTTATAGAGGACATCATGAACTGTTAGAATCTCTTAACAGTTTTTCATTGGAATCCTTCCTAAAGGTTCAAAGACTCTAAATGGAGGATCTGATGCTCAAGACAGTAATCAACCACAGCATAATGGAGATAGCAATGAAGAAAGCAAAGACGAGGCCAGCAGTAAGAAAAAGTGAGGACATGTTTTAATGGGTCGTAATGTGTACTTTTTGTTTAATTTTTAAATCACAGTGTTGTTCCAAGGTTATTTGTAGTAAGGTATTATATTTTGATCACTCAGTTCCTGAATTCAGAAAGCAAGTTACAAATCAAAAAGATGTAGAAATTAAGTTATAACTAATTTCACTGTATTCAAGGGAATAGAGCGAGGCAGGAATTTTAGTTTTAAAAAATAATTTTTGGACTTCTTTCACTGATACTTTTAATAATGACTTAAAAGTCTATACTTTCTTGAATTTCGACAGGATAATAAAAAAATTAGACCTAAATCACAGGCTAGTTTGTATTATAAATACCCACTCTAACTAGATATGGAACTGTAGTTACCAAGTCTTGGTTTGTTCCTCTGTATATCAAGACTTGGAATCAAGCATCCCTTCTAATTCTGAAACTGAGAGAAATCTCATCTGTGTGATACTATCCCCTCTTTTCATTAAGGTTTGTACTATGTTGGTATCACAGGTGTGACATTCTTATGTTCTTAGAATTCATTTTAAAGCTGGATATGATGAGAAAAGGGCCTAAGCCGTGAATGCTTCCCTGAGTTATTCTGCTTAATCGCATATTATTTTGGGAAGAAGGCACAACATGGTAAAACAAAAATTTCAACCAAAAATAAGTCAAAAAGAATTTTAAATCTTTTGATTTAAAAAACAATGCCAGATTTAATGTCTTTTTTTTTCTCCTGAGGAAAAAAAATTCCCCTAATTCCAGTTATCACACCTTTTTCCCCCCCACTTTTCTTTAGGCCATCCAGCGAAGAGAGAGAGACTGAAATATCTCTGAAGGATTCTACGCTAGATAACTAGGTTAACATACCTGGAATATAAAGAATATTTGAGAAGTTTGTAATGGTTTTCATTTGAAATATTTAGACTGCTGAAAGTTTTAAATTTTTATAAGCATAGGTTTTGATGTTTAAAACTTGTTTTGAGGGAGAAAATCCTTTATCTTTGTTTAAAATAATTAAACATTGCTTAATTGTACTTGTGCAGTATTAACAGCTACATATACAGTAAATGTGAGGGGAAAAATCCATTTAGGAAATGTTGAACTGCTTTTCCAGACATTGGTTGTAGCATATTTTCAATTAGTGTGTGTATGTTAATGTGTAATTGATAGTAGGGAAAAGTTACATTTTTAAAACTGCTACTTGTATAAACCTTTCCTCTTTTCCCAAATACCGTGAGTTTTGTGCAGTTTTTACAAATCTTGGATTTACCAGACTGTCTTTTCACTGTTTGTGGGTTTTGTAGAAGTTATGCATTTTTATGGTAGGTAAAATGTTACTTCTATATAAGTACTCACGCCCTTCTCTGATCTAAAGTTAATCTCAGTCTACCTTGTGCTACATTATCCTGCTGCTTTGTAACAATGTGTGGTCTGTATGCCTTTTTGTATAACTAGATATCCAACTGACATTGAACTGACAATTCTACAAGGTACAAAACTCATGTTAACTGTTGAAGGTAATGTAATTTTGTGGCTGGGAATTCAGTGAAGTCACATGACTTTTCCTGCAGAAAACAATGGGTGTATATAGGAATGATCTGTCTTAGGGTTCAGCCATCTAAGATCCTTTTCAGGCACTAGTAGCTGAAACTGAAAACTGAATGATAAAAGTTTATTTTTGAGACATTTCTGAATTTTTTAAAAAGTCACACTCATTAAGGAAGTCACTAAGTAATATTTTTTTAATTGGGAAACAATCCATGATGCTTATGCAGTAAATAAAAATAAATACTATATAAGGAAACTAACCTATTTGAAAACATGGCTATATCAGAAGGGAATTTTTATTTCTTTATCATACATGTGACAGGATTGCAAAAAGTGGAAACAGTACTATGAGGCAGTAGATAAAGGAGTACTTTTTGATAGTCTGTATATTCATATATGTGGACTAAATTAGGGTGAACCAAATTTAACACAAAATTTAAGGGTAACTTAACAAATAGCATTTCTAAGATATTTTGATTAGGTCAGTTGGTTTTTTAGTAGCTAAGACACTTCTCGTGTTTTGAAACTATGAATATGGGAAAAAGGCTTTTACTACAGTGTTTGCATGTGACATGCATTGTATGTTGTGACCTCTCGGATAATTGTTTTTATCAATAGATGGAAAGTTTGAATTATTTCAATAACTGGAGTTTTGCTTTTGAGAGGTCTTACAATGGAACTTAGGACCTACTATTTTGAGGGAATTTTTGCTATTTTATCTGTTTGGTCCTTAGTACAATTAAAATTTGGACAGATTTATTCTAGTTAAGCCATAAGTGTCAACATGTAAACTTGTTTTGATTAAAGAATTTTTCTATCAAACTTTACTAGTAAATTACTTCTTTGCTATTTATAAAAGTGTGTTGGAATTCTGGATTTCTTTCCAAGGGAGTAATTTCTTAGTTAACTTGGTAATAGAGATTATATTGTTTGGGGAGACAAGGAAACTAATAAGCTCAAAATGATGAAAATAAAATGTTATTTTTTTGTTCCCCCTCCCTTTTTTTTTTTTTTTGTGCGTGTGACCCAAGAGATCTATAAAGTTTTACCAAGAACCACAGAATATTCAGTTTCTGGAGATAAGTATGGGAGCACTCTGATAATCTGTCTGCTTGTATAGGCTGACCTTGTTTTAACCAGTTAATTTACGTGGTGTTAAAACACAGTAGTTGCTTTCTCTATCTTAACCCTCATATCAAGAAATTTTTCTCTTTGCCAGCAATTCACAGATAACTACCATAGTATGGTACTCTCAGAACCCTTAAGAAAGTCATAAAAGTCAAGAACTTTCAGGAACATTGGTTCAATTTAAATTGTGTATTTGGTCAAAACTCTACAGCTGAGTATGTCACTTAGTTGAGATAATTTAAATGAAATAGACTCCCTTCTCCACTAAAACCCCAAACCCCACTTTTTTGGTATGTATAAACAACTATTTCATTGCTGCTTTTTAAACCATTGAATAATGTTTAAAAGAAGTAAGTTATGCATTGCCCAGCAGAATCAATTGTTGGAAAATTTTCCCAGGTGCTTTGGAGAAAGTTCAGAAGTATCATCTGAATCAAAGAAACTAAATCAAACTTTATATATGTAAACAGCTTGACTGGAGTACCTTAAGCCTTATAATTACTATTATATCTGCTATTATATCCTGCCTGTGGTTTCAAATAGTAGGATACACTGTAGTGTACTCACACACACTTACCTGGTTGAAGATGTCAGGATGAGTTGGCTTATACAAGAGTAAAGGCTTTTACAGGGCTCTGTGAGGGCTTCACTAATAACTTAGTTTGTCCCATTGGCCAGAAAAAGGTTGATCTATTGGAAATAGCAAACCCATAATTACACCTTAAGAAATGAAGAAGCTGCTATATATAGGCAGAAATGTGTTCAAAATTGTGCTGTGTGATTCTTCAACCTTGGAGATGAAGACATTGTGATGGGATTGTGAGAAAGATCAAATTATCATTAAAGGGTACTGAAGTCTGAAAAAGATGTTTAAGGAAATAGGTTTTGACTTTCTAGTGATTTTGTGCATTTCTATCCACTATTATATCAAAATGTAATTTGTTTTAATAGAGGATGTTGATTAATAGTTCATGACATTTTCATATCTGCTTTTCCTAATTAGGTAAAATATGTAATTTAACAGTAATGTTATGTTTAATATTGCATTCTGCAGCTATAGAATTCCAGATTTAAACATCATTTATGCCTACTTGAAAGTTAGGAGTTTCTTTTGGTGGAGACCTGTGTAACTGGTGCACGATACATTGGCAAATTCTGGGAGTAGCTTGGTTGGCCGTTCCACTCTAGATTTCACCAGAAACGATAATAGATATCTGACCCTTTGTAATGTTGGTGGAAAAGTTAATCTTAAGGATAATATTCTCAATAAATGATAAAACAAGTATGTCAGTAGCAGTATTATTTTAACCAACAATCTTCATCCACTAAAGTGAATTGATTGGCACCGCACATGGATTAATGTTTCCATTACAGTTCCTTTTCTGGAATTTTCTGTTTTGAGAATGTAAAATGAAAATGAATAAAAGTAAAAAGACCCTTACATACTAATGTAAGACCTATAAGGAATGCAGTTTAAAAATTAAGCATTTATTTTTACTTCTGAAATTTAGAGGAATTGAGTAAATTGTGAATTTCCAATAGAATTTTAAATCAATTCAATTTAGCATCCTTGGAAACAAAAATTTAAGCAATGACATAAAGCAGCTGTGGAGGGACCGCTTAGTTCTTTATATTGATCCTCTAGTGTACTGATTGAATCAGTGGGTAAGAACATAGCTAGACATACCAGAAACAGGTGCTTGTGTACAAACCAAATTGGCTGTGTGGCATTTAAGTCCATAAAACATTTCACTGGCAAGTCTTTTAAACACAGGCTTATAGGCTTCTAGGCTTCATCAGTTTTTTGATTTATGTGGTAAATGTCTGTTCTTACCCATCTAGGGAATGTGGAATTCAGGTGAATTTAAATATAACCTGGAAGAAAGTGAAATTTAAATAATACATTTAAAAGTGAACCATTTTATAGCATTTCTATAAGTCTTAAACAGAAATACAGAATTAAATTTTTCACCAAAAAAGTTTCCCAGAAAACATTTTAGTATACATAAGCTACAATACTCCCTGATGCTCTCTAGACCTTGAAATTTTATAGTTGTGCTTTGGCCCAGAATAAGACAAGACAATAAATAGGATCACCATAGTAAGGGAGCCAAAGAATGAAGAGCTGGGCCAGAAAAACTTTAGTGGTGTTTTTTGTTTTTGTTGTTTTTGCATTTAGAATACTGGATATAATTGCCCAAGAATAAGTGAGCCAGAGCTAGCTAGCAATTCATAGGATCTTGATTTCCCATATCTCCCTGGTTATATTTTGATTTACAAAAAGTCAAGAAATGAAGCTTCATTTAAATGTTACTTCTGTAAAGATGAGTATATTTCCAAGATCTTCTTACATTCATTATGCAGTGAGTCTCACTAAAATGTTTAGTGCCTCATTTCTACCAAAACGTAAGAGCCCACTATGAGATTAAATTACATAATAGCTATTAATATTTATTAAATCTACTTTTCTTGGACTCATTTTTATTAGATATTTGAAAGATCTTTACCTTGGAAGCCTCATGGTACATGGTGTAGCTCACATTCTTCAAAGAATTTTCAAAACACTTCCAGTGCTTGATGTATCAGTAACTGAATTTTGCTAATAATCATTAGCAAAAATCATTCTGGACACAAGGAATAGGCAAGCCAAAGACTGGGAGAAAATCAGAATACATGTACCTGACAAACGATTTGTATTCAGACTATAAAAGCACTCTACAACTCAGATAAACAACATACTTAAAAATGGGCTAAAAGCACTACATAAAGATTATACTTCAAAATAATATATTTCTAATCATTTAAATACAATCAAGTTACTTTGTAAGAAAATGTGTGATTTGAATTGGGGGGGGGGGTTAGATAACTTTAGTTGGTTGTTTCAGGTTGACCCTGGTCCTCTGGCATTGGAAATAAAGTAACCATCCAAGAGGACAGTTATTTCACTTTTTGTTGCTGGTTATTAATTAAAGGTTCCAGGATCAACATAAGGATAAGCAAGGAATTCCCCCAGTTTGTTGCCTTCTGAATCATAGTGGAGCATTCGGAAGCAAACATCACAAAAGAAACATGGGTCCTCTGGTGCAAAACTGTCATTGTTCGTCACCCATCTGTAGTTCAAAAAAAAAAAAAAGGTGTACATCATTACAATTAACTTTCTCAAACTTTAACATGCTGAAAGTTGTAAACATTTACACTATTGCCTTCTCATTCTAATGTTATAATCCTTTGTATGGTTAAAGGTATATTATATGTATATAATACACACAGATATATCACTCAATTCAAGGCAAAAGGGCAACTAACAAACACTGCAGAATGCTGTTTCTTTGAAAGACTTCTCCTTAAAGGTAAGTAGATTATAAACCTATACTTGAAAGCATCATACACTTGCCATGGCATAGCTACCCTCCAACTACTTCAATATGAACAATCATTTTCTTCTAAAAGGCCATCTTGAGAAACCATAATAAATTAGATGCTATAGACCGGATAAACTTTTTGCTTAATTTATCTAACTGGTAAATTAGTACTGGTTAATTTGAAAACTCCAGCTGTTTTACTTAGCATTCAGGATAAAATGTTAGAGTATATACTAATGAGAAATACGGGCAACATTATACAACTGAGATTTTGTTTTTTTGACCTGAGATGTTTGGTCACAGATGAAAATAACATTTTCCAGTTTATCTGAATTCTGCATCTCATGGAATGTTTTAACATTCTCTGATTTCCATTTTGATTTGATAACTGATTTATGTTTTCCTACTCATTAAGAAAATATATTGTGGGGAACCCAAAACAAACTGATGAGACTAAATTCTTCCCTTTTCCTCTGAATAGTTTTTTGACTCTGATCTGCAGTTAAACACAATCTAAACATGCAGAATCGCAAAGAAAAATTTTATAAAACCATATTTTGACCATTATATGTGAGATGCTGTGTTTTTTCTTTGAGAACTTGTAGATGAAGCTGATTTTGTAAACTAGACAAGAGGCAGAAAGAATGTGTGGCTCCCTGATGACACAGCATTGTAACCAGCCTAAAGTCTGACCTATACCTAGACTTCCACTATACGTGATGATTCATTTCCTTATTGTTTAAAAATAAGGTTGTAATGTACTGAACTAATGATCTGCAGCACTTCTCTACTAGATAAAACTCCACATATTGTTTATACCCCAAAGTATAAGTCCTCATGTTCAAAATAGAAAAGAAACGAAATGCCAAAAACAAATACCTCTCAAAAAAATACAGGTATCACCTACCTGGCTGTGTACATTTTACAAACAAAACATTTTCTGGTCCATAGCCAGTGCTTCTTGATAAGAAGGGGGTAAAGTGTCCTATCCAAGCAGTCATCACGATGCACAAGTCTTTTGTACATGAGAAAATAAAAATATTAAAGTGTAAATTTTTGTGATATGTAAATCAAATATATCTGTACCTCGACATTAACACAGTAGGCATATTTTTCAATTTTTTTCTTAAAAAAGATTTAGGTATAAACTGACTTGTTACAACAGGTTTGATAAAACTTGTGTTCCACAAAACCACCCCAAAAAACATTTTGGACCAAACAATGTTTTCTTTCCTATGAAACATTCCAAATCTCTTCATGGTGATGCGTACCATTACTAAGGGAGACATTGTATATGACATTTCTTGAATGTATTCCGGCAGAGAATCCTTGCTTTTTACTCCTTAGTACCTTTTTATGGAACAAAGTTTGAGTAACTTATTTATCCTATTTTATCTAGCTATTCTACCTAGATTAATGGGTTATGTGTTACAACATGGCTCTTGTTTACTGTCTCCTTAATTAAAATCCATATCTGGCTCCTGGTATAATGTGAATTGGTAGGACTTTAGTTTTAGGTGTCAAAATTAAGAATTTCAAGTGAAAGTCAATCTCCACTATGCCACTGATCAGCTGAGTGGGTTTAGGTAAATCCTTTAACCATGTTGGACCTCAGATTCTTCTGAAAAATGAAGGGACTGCACAAGAGTACTCTAAAGGTCCCTCACAGTTCTAAAATTTGATTCTTTTTTCTGTAAGGAGGGGTAGCAGTATATCAACATCAGAAAATGATTAATACATTTTTAACAGTTTACCAACTATTAAAATGGCACTGAATGAAATCCACCTGTGAGAAAAATGACCTGCGAGAGAAAAATGACTTGTAGTCTAAATTACAAGTTTCCTTGTGTTTAAGGAATGACTAAAGTAAAATCAGAAAAGTGGATTGTCTTCTATCTTACACTTATTATTCTGAGACACATTCCCCCTCATCTGAGTGGAAGAGCAAGCTTAGTAACATTTAAAGAACACATAATCAAAAAAATAAATATATAATTTTGAAAGTCATATAAATCTATACGGTTTATGAGCTCTCCTGGCTCTTGCTTCAGAAATTCTCCCATGGGGCAACTGATTTACATTCTTAACTATTTCTTTTTAATTTAGCTCCTCAACATCCCTCTGTAGAACTACTATAACTTTGGTTACATATTTAATGTTTGAATTATGAGGAGTTAGAATTATTACCACGTAAGCCACATAATTGACTATAGGTTTCTTTTACTGTGTAGCATTTTGTTTTCTAGCTAATTCTCTCATGTTTGCATTTGCTTAGCTTTCAATGTACCCATTACTAATTCAGTTCCCTGTTTTCTGACAGAAAAGTAAAAGTACTCTCTATATGGTATGCACCAACAGGAGGAGGTCTTGCAGCTCTAGATACCCTTTCCAAGTCCTCCGTCCTGCTCCAGTCTCTGGACTAAGTTGTTCTCCAGGTCTATTATACAGCCATCGTTCTGGGATTTCCCTTTCCCATCATTCTGAGAGTTCCTTTTATGTCTTATATCTATTCTGATTTGCATTCCATATTTTTCTTTTTCAAGGTTTAGTCTTTGTGTGAAGTACTTCCTCTTCTTGAGTAGCTTCCTGAGTTATCAGTGCATGGGAGGTAAATTTTTGGAGACTGGTCACTAAAACCCCCAAAAAGAAGCAGGGACTTTCTGAAAGCATTAGTTTCTATTACTGGTATAATAAATACATGGGTATATAATTGCTGCCTCTACCCCATCCCCCCCAAAAAAACTTAAAAATGGTCTCTCAAAAGAAATCAAACCAGGGATAGAGCAGGGCTTATTCCTATATATTAGTCCTTCATAATCTGAGATTTCCTAAATAAGGAAATGAATAGTCTTTTTCATGAGGAAGAAAGAAGATACCAGCTACACAAAATTTATAACTTTTCTTAAAATCCCATTTTAGACTACCTTAGTCCTTTCTACTTTAAATCTTTATCAAAGCATTAAGACTTCACATTTGTCAAATGTTAAAATTACTCTTCTCTTCTCCCAGTTCCCTTTTATCTCCTTAAAAATTTTGGCAAAAGAAAAGAAACCTAGAAATATTGCTGCAAATTTGCAGAGGGCCTATATGATATACAGAGTGGATGACTGTTACCTGAATAATAGCTAATATACAAATGGTGATACTTTAAAAAGTATTTATAGATTTTAATGCTTTAATAAACAGTATTTATTATAGGTTTTCCAAAAAATAAACAATAAAGGATGAGAAGCTGGTGATTGCACAGAAAGCATTTAGTTTTGCTGTTCTCAAGCCAAGCTGCAGGGATACTTATTTTTATTCTTTTAATTTAAAATTTAAAAAAGACCTACTTGTGCTTTCATACTGTGAAATAAGGAAAAGGAAAACAGAATAAAATGTTCTGAGCGCTGTCACTTACCTTATGTCGGTAATGACAACAACATGTTCACAGTCTCCCTGGTGACAGTACAAGTAGGGAAAACCCAGTTTAATATACAAGTCATTGAATGTGAAATCTTCCATTTTAGCAGTCTGAAACTTTCCATAGCCTCTATCATGGGACTCTGACCACTCAATGATAGTTCTGAGGAGAGAAAAAGGCAAGGAGGGATATATCACTGCTCCACAAAAAACTAAAAATGACAGAAAACAGTTTGTGATTGCAGAATTTCACAAAACCTGGCTCTCCCAATTAACTGGGCAGTTGCCATCTTGATGAAAATCTTACTGGTTGGTACATGTTGGAATTAGGAATTCTAAATTTCTATTCATCAGAGCAGTTCTCAAAATATGGTTCTTGAGACTCCACAGGGGTTTGTGAGGTCAAAATTATTTTTACAATAATCCTAAAATGTCATTTGCCCTTTCAGCTCTATTCTCTCACAAACGACTAGTTTTCTGGAGGCTATGTGACATGTGTTATCACTTTAGATTAAATGGAAAATGTAGAACAATGCCATTCTTTTGTTTTGCTTTGGAAAACAGTTATTTTTCATAAAAATGTTATTAATGTTAGCATGTAATGGGATTATTTAAATTTGTTAATGTTTAAAATATTTCTTAGTTTCAATTGCTAATATGGTAAATATTGATAGCTATTACATAAACAAAAGCTTTGGAGTCCAATTATTTGCAGTATAAAGGAGTGCTAAGACTGACAAGTTTGAGAACTGCCACATTAGAATAGATACAAATGGCTGTAATAAAAGAGAATTTATTAAACATTCAGAAAAAAATATATATATACATACTCTAGCTTCTAGGACACTGATAAGAAAAGTATGGTCTAATTAACATGATATTAGATATAGACTTAAGCAACCATATATATCACCTAGGGCAAATAGCAGTATACACTGGACAAGCAGAAAAACAAAGATTAATTTATTGTTATCACCTAATAATTAGAACAGATATTAAAATATTTAAGTGAGATTTCACTGTTTTTTAGATGTATCTAAGGCCTAATACAAGATTTACTCTAATTTCTAAAATAGTAGATAATACATTTAAAAAACAATTCTAGACAGCTGGCAAAGATCTTAAAATGATCTATGTATGTTTTTGGTAGGAAATTTTTCTTGGAGTAAAAAAGTTTTGATTAACTTACTAGTACCCAGACTAACAAGATGAAATAACTTTGAAAATATTTTTTTAATTGAGAGAATTTTTGACCCCAATCAAAAAAAACCTAGCAAAGTAATTCCTTGGCAAAGATCTTTAAGAGACCAATAATAGGATTTGTAAAGATAACACCATTTTGAGAACCAGAACTAGGAAAGACTTTGAAAAGATTTTTGGAAACTATACCTGCTCAAATCTCTGCACTCAGGGTATCTTTTATCATTGTAAAATGTTCCTTCAAAATAAAAGAAGGCTGATTTGTATAGATCCTACGAGAAAACAGATAGTATTGAAAGTCTACTATTAACAATTATGATATTGCTCTAAGAATTCAAAATTGGTATGTCATAAAAACACACTAATCTGTTTAACAGTAACTTCCGAATATGCTCAGCTCATTAATAACTGAACAGTGATATCTTTGGTGTTTCCCCAGTGATGATAACAATGATTGTGGAGTTATGTTTATCTGTCGTTTAAAAAATATTTTCAATGAAGTATCACAGCACTTACACAACTTGTCTGAACCCTTAGGTTTCTTAACTTTCAGTCTACCAGACTTTCTATCAGAGCGGTGTCTCTTAACCCTAACTGCATAACAGAATCACAAAAACATCAAAGACCAAGTCTCACTTCAGATACATTAAAAAATGAAAGTCTGTGAGGATGTGGCCCAGGTACCAGTGTTTTCCCAAGCTCCCCAGGAGATTAAAATGTACAAGCAGCATTGAGAACCACTGTTAGACTTGTCTTTTGCTGTAGGCTTAGACTCCGGGGTGAGGGTAAGAAGACCTGTGTTCCTTTTTCCTTAATCTATACCTCCTCCTCAGACCTCAGTTTCCGCACCTGTAAAAGCAGAGTAATATCCAGCATTCTATCTTACAGGATTGTGATGAGAATCAAAAGCAGGTTATGAACTATAAAAGATATATAAACTTCAGGTATTAAAGCAATTTTACCTTAAGATAACCTAATTTCTCTGCTGCTTCTTTAAATTCTATTTTTCTTTCTTATCTTCATTCCCCTGTTTACAGATCATCTGGTGTTGGTGTCAGACACCCTTATTAGATTCTTTCTCCTTGGACCACTCGCTACATCTCCCTGACTCTCTGTTTCATGTAAAATATGAGTAAAGTATTACCTTTTCCCTAGGTGGCCTCAGAGGTAAAAGGATATAATGTACTATATAATGCCATGTCTAGCTGCTGTTAACACAAAATCTGCCACTTAATATACATCTAAACTCTCAAAGAAGTAAGCTAGGATCCAAAGTAAAGGTTCTGAAAAAATGACTATTGCCTTATTTTGGAAAAAAAACAAAGTTTAGTGTATATAAAATTTTGTTCATTACAAAATGTTCCTATAGAACTTCAAGTGATTTAGGTACATAAGGGCTCAGAGTCATCACTGCAAAACTTAGTGCCTGTTCACCAAGTAAATAAAAGGGTCGAGAAAGAGGTCTCAAGCCAGGTATAATGCCAATATGGCAAAAAAAGAACATGGGGCTTTGAAAGCTAGTTGACAAGCGTCTGAATTCAGCCTCCACCGGTGCTTACTGAACATGGGCAACTCATGACAATGCTCTGACCCGTCTTTTTCTTACCTGTAAAATGGTGATAATTCTTTCTAAAGATAGTATATTATACATCTAGCATATGGTAAGTACTCAATAATCAGAGGATATTATTTTACTAGATGGAAGAAGCAGAAACAATAACAGATGTGTAAACATTTTAAAATAAGACATTGGGTCATCTAGCCCCCTGCTTAGAAATTTGCTGAAGGCATCAGTACTGATGTACAAGCAATAAACCAACCAAGGCTGGTTAAAAACACCTCCCAGAGTTCCTGAAACTAAAGCTGATTTCTAGATCTGACACAAAATCACTGTGAGTACTGATGACAGTTGGAATGAAAAAGATGAATTCAGATTTTTCTTATTAAATTGATCTTATAATTTTTACAGTGACACCTTTTGCTGGTAGGGTTGAAAAACGAGAAGACTGCTTCTCCTTTAAAAGAAGAATCACTTATTTTCTGGTCTGCATACAGCCTTGAATATATCCACTTGTTTCTCTTTAATATTTATCTCCAAGAGCATCAACATGGCAAACCTGAAGAACCCAAATATCTTGAAACCATTTCAACCTAACTCAAAAACTATGTAAGTGAAATTTATGTGAGTCATGATGCTGGTCTCATGCCAGTCATCAAGAAGGCCAGAATATCGCCAGCCTTAGGGGGGCACAGAGAGACATACAAATAATAATAGCATATTATTATAAGCACTCTAATGGACAAATGAAATGGTGCCAGAGTGGCAAAGACAGGACAGTCAGGAAAAATTTTATATAACAAATGAGTTTTCAGCTGGGTTTGAAAACTCCCAGATGGATGGAGGGAGGGTAAGGGCTTCCTACCATGTTCAAACACTCAGAGGCACAAAAAAGTATGGTATGCTTAAGATAAACACATTCATTGTTGAAGCACAGGGTATCTAAGTAGGGAGTGAACAGTATGGAAAGTTAATATTGGAATTATCATTACAAAAGGCCTTATATGTCAGCCTAAGAAGTCGGATTATAGGCAATACAGACCCACTGAGATTTTTAGATCAGAGAATGACAGGATCAATTTCTTTTTAAATATTTTATTTTTTAAAGAACAGTTTTAGGTTTACAACAAAATTGAGAGGTAGGTACAGAGACTTCCCATATACTCCCTGCCCCTACACATGCACAGACTCTCTCCATTATCAACATCATTCACCAGAATAGTACATTTGTTACCAAGGATGAACGCGCAATGACCCATCATTATAATCACCCAACGTCCACAGGATTCACTCTGGGTGTTTGATTTGATTTTGAAAGGCAGCTTGAGTACCATATATAGGAAGGTCTAAAGATGGGAAGACCCGTTAGGAAGTCCTAAATAAAATATATGGCAATGGAAAAAAGGAGTCTGGAGCTATCATGGCAGAATAAACAGGAATGAAAAGGGAGTTTCAGCTGAAGAAAAAAGGAGACGGTAAAATAATGAGTTTAATTTTAATTTAAACATTGAGCTTGAGTTATCTGTGGTTCATTCATTTAGTTAACAACTATTTGGGCACTTCCTTTGTGCCACACATCATCAGAGGAATAAAGATATATATATCACTGAACAAATCAAAGTCCCTACCCTGATAGAGTTTATATTCAAGTTAAGGAAGACATACAAATACATGATGTGGGTAGTGATGAGAACAATTAAGAAAAATACAGCATGACAGGGGAAGAGAATACTAATCTGGATGCTGTAGGAAAAGACCTCTCTGTCAAGGTGACATCTGAGACCAGGAAGAAACAAAGGAGTGAGCATCTAAACATCTAGGTGAAAACATTCTAGGCTGAAGGAATAGAAGATACAAAGGCTCTGGGCAGGAGGAGCCTGCTTGGTATATGTAAGAAACAACAAGAATGACAGTGTGGTTCTATAGCTATGACTATCTGAACGAGACCACCCAGAGAGAATACACAGAGGAGAGGTCTGAGGATGGACTCATGTGGCTTAATAACATTTATAAGTCAGGAAGATGAGAAACATCCAGCAAAGGAATTAAAACTCAATTTTCTTCAGACAGGGAGAAAATCAGGTGGGAGTAATACCCTAAAAGCCAAGTAAAGAAAATGTTTCAAAGAAGAAGGAATGTTTGTTTGTGTCACGTAATGATGAGAAATCGATTAGGTGAGAACTAAGAGTCTATGGTGGCATCAATAAAAGTGATTTTGGTGGAATGGTGGGGAACGAAAAGGAGTTCAAGACAAAATGGGAGGAGAAAAAGAGAAACAATGAATTTAGATTCTATTATTAACTCATTAATTCGAGTCAGTTTGCTGAGAAGGAAGCAGAAAATTGAGATGGTAGCTAGAGGAAGACACACTGTCAAGAAGAGGTTTTAGGGTGGGAGATATTATAATACATCTGTTTTCTGATAGGAGAGCCAACTGAATGGGGAAAAAACGCTGATAATACAGAGGCAACAGGGAATAATTACAAGAATAAAGTCCTTGGTTATGCAGTCAAGGATGGAATCCAGTGGACTTATAGACTGGCCTCAGATAGCAGCCCATTTATTCCATACATTGTTAACAGGTGGAAAAGGCAGGGTGCATGGGCAGATGGGTAAATGTGGGCGAGAGATGATGGACAATTCTTTTCCGATAACTTTATTTTCTCAGTGATGTAAATAGCAAGGTTTCCAACTGATGGTAAGCCAGGAGGAAAAGATGCTGACAGTTTTATAAGGAATAAAACAGTTGCCTTGAAAAGTGGCAGAGTGAATCAACTACAGAAATGCAGTAAAAATGCCAGGCAGCACTGAGGCTAAGTGGAAATGTCCAGTAGGCACTTAAAATAATGGTCTGGAAATCAAGAGAGATGTGGCTACAGAGAGATTAACAACAACTGGAGTATGCTTAAAACTATGAAAATTCAGGGAAAGATCGGGGTAAGAATTTAGAATAAGAACAACTAAGATGAAACGAAGCTATAACATTTAAGTGGCAGGTTGCACAGGAACCAGCAAAAATAGAGACTGTGATGGTTCTCGTCCAAACTCTATGTCCATTCTAGCTGATCCGAATATCTTTTTATTGATCTACAAGAGATGCTGCCTCTCTTAAGTGGGCCAGTCAATCTGAGGTCGTCTTCTAGAGTTGAACTAGGTAACAGAGTTAGTTCGAGCTTACCCTATGATAAAATTCAGAAGGATCAAGGCCCTACTACTTTACTGAAAACCTCATGGGTGGCTAAATCTACCATTTTTCTCTTTCTGTCCTTATCCAATGGGTATGTAGGGTTTTCTCTGTCCTTTTGAGAGTACCAGCAACGACCAACATCAGATGCTATGTCCCTGTTTGGTACTGGTCACTGGACTGACAGGTCCTTCTATGTGTAGTGGGACTCTCGGATAGACTCCAACCCTTTATTGAGGGCGGTTAGGACCATCAAACTCATATAGAGTTTGAAAGAGGAGAGAGTTTGAACAGCAAATTCAAATGCTACAGTGAGGTTAAGCTGTATGAATATGAGAAAGAGATCAATTGGTTAAACAATTTGGTGGTCACTATGACCTTAGAAGGAAAAATGTACATAGACTGGTTGAGAAATGAACATGAGATAAGGAAATCAAAACTGACTATAGCCTAATCTTTGAAAAGGTCTTGATGACAAAGATCAAGGAAGAGACAGGCTTGAGGGAATGGTTAGAAGAAAAAAGTATTTACTGGAATATTTATGATTCTGCTAGAGTCATCATTACTTCCTTAGCTTATTATTATTATTTCTACTTGCTTTATGGGGGTAAAAAAAATATCACCTTACTTTGCTGATGTGCTCAGGGGCTTGGTCAGGAGTGCTGCTGAATTCCCCACCAATCTGGAGGTCACTGACACAGCAAATTGAATCCCTTAGTTCCGTGAGTTTTTGACTGCCCAATACCAGTATTGTCTGGTATGGTTTGTGTTCTTTGTGCTAAAAGTCAAACAGTAAATAAGTGTCCACTTAGAAACAAGCAATTAAATATAAATCCTGTCATGATCACATCCAAATTGAGTTACTGATTTTCTTAATTTAAGTTAGGCCCATAACTTAACATAACATAACTTTTCTCTGTTTTCTTAAATTCTCTATTTGTCTATCTGGCAACCATTAGTTATATGTCACAGCCTTTATTGGGGTTTCTGCGGGAAAGGCAAGAACTAATGGCCAAAGCTGTTAACATCTCCTCTAGGATTCAGAGCCTATACTCTGAAACTACCTCCTTTAATTCTCACACACCAAGCCAACACTTCCACTATCCTAAATCAAGGGCCAAGTACCAGACAACTACGGACCACTCCTATGCCCCAGAGCCCACTAGAATTATTCAAACTAGCCAACCCTAAACTGTTCATCCTGCCCTGCCTTGCCTTTCCCGCAGAAACGCCAATAAAGGCTGTGACATATGCCTTCCCCTCCCACTTTTCTGCCTCCTGACTGACACTGGCAATTCCTCTTTGACCCTGCTTAGCACGGTGTATCCCCTCTCTCCTCAGGAAATGTAAGTTATGAAAATCTTCAATGGCACTGGCCTCTAAGTGTTGTCACTCAGTCGTTCATAAATAAGAAAACCATGGATACAACTGACACACTTAGAGCTATGGTCTGAATGTTTGTGTCAGCCCAAGATTCACATGCTGCAATCCTAACACCCAAAGCAATGCTGTTAGGAGGTGGGGTCTTTCTTTGGGAGGTGATTAGGTTATGAGGGTAGAGCCCTCATGAATGGGAGTAGTGCTTTTTAAAAAAGAGATCCCACAGAGCTAGCTCCCTAGCCTCTTCTGGCACGTGAGAATTCTTCAACCCAGAAGAGGACCCCCACCTGACCATGCTGGCACCCTAATCTCGGACTTCCAGCCTCCCAAACTGTGAAAAATAAATTTCTGTTGTTTATAAGCCACCTAATCTGGGTTACTTTGTTATTGCAACCAGGATGGACTGAGACACTCGGCAATAGAACTTTTTTAGTTTAAGCTAGTGTACAATCAAGATGCTACTAAAATGATATTAGCATGAAGAGGCTTTGGATTATAACTTCATCTAACAGCACTGTCTTAAAATTTTCTGGAAGTTACCTCATTGTAGTGAAGCAATCTATTTACTACCCGAATGTTACATATAACTCAGATCTTTGAGTAATTAGTACTAACTATATCCCAGATGCTTTATAAAAGCTCAATAATTCACAAGTGCAATTTATGTATAGCAGTATTTCAATGAAATCTTATCAAAGTTTATGACATACCTATTTAGGAAATCAAGAATACACACACTCTGGGCGTGGATAGTTCTTTTTATTAGAGACTCCTAAGGAACTCCTAGATACCCCTGACCTGTTAACTTTCTACATTTTCATCAAAGATGAGCATCTTTAGTTAGTTCAGTAACTTCCCAAGTATTTCTAAAGTGGTGAACCTACCTTTTCACCAGTCACCTACTGGGAAAAAAATATAAAATACCCTCAAGAATTCATATAATTAGAATCATTGTAAATTTCTCTATACTTTCAGCTGCTTCCAGTGCAGAAACCAGGGTATACATTACAAGAATTAAATTGTAATCCTATTTGTCAAGATATTACTTGAAATTTGCCTTATTTATAATATTCTTTATTAAAACAAAACAAAAAACCCAAGAATATAGACAAGATGCCAGATACAATAGCATATGCTTGCATTTATTTTGAACCCTAAGGTATGTAACTCTTCAAATAAATAAACCTTTTGACAAAAATCACTCGTATTATTTGTGAAATCCAAAAGGGTTTACTACTGACCTTATGAAATATAACAGGATACAAAATATTCACAGATAGGATAAGCTCCCCTTCTTCAATCATGTCTGCTGGATTTTCAGGCTTTTTCCCTATGGCATGTGACTCCTGAAGGAAGAAAACAAATTAACAAGAGACATTAAAATCAGGCACTGTGGACTCAGATAAGAGACAGTGTGGAACAATGACATAAACAAGAACTTGAGTCACACAGCCCTGGGTTTGACTCCTAATTCTACTTTAAGAAAAATGTTAAAACCTCTGACAGCTTTGGTTTCATCTACTATAAAAAAACAAAAATACTTATTTTATAGAACTTTTGCTGGGAATGTGTACATAAAGCATCTAGCAAGATGTCTGGTACTAAATGCTTAGCAACTGATGATAAAACAGGAATATCAACTAATGTTGGCATAACAATGGCATTTACAGATATTAGTACTTTTATATACCTCCTCTTCCATTATTATGAAAGCCATTAGACAGATGAAGCTCAGAGGTTCAGATTTACCCAAGGTAAATCAACAAGTTAGGATGCAAATATTGCTCTGTTTGGCTCAAAAACCCTTGCTTTTTACAACACTGTTATATCTTTAATATACCACACTCTCTCTTTTATATGTGCTTCATAACTACAAAATGGGAGCTGCCAGGGAAACTGGTTAAGTAAAGGTGCAAAAGATGTTTTAAAAATAAGTGGGAGTGATGTCATGCAAAATGGTGAGTAGGAAACTCTAGGGACCAGTACCTTCACCACAGCAACCAATAAGATAAGAAAGACTGGAATCAATTATTTTGGATCTCTGGAACTTCTATCAACCAGGGGAATGCTTGGTGATCTATCATAAGTAAGCAGCAGGTGCAAACCAATCACCATTCTCTCATTCCTCAGCTCTGCTGAAGATGTGGAGATAGCAGCCTGTGTTACTGGAAATGACGGCTGAGCCAGGATTGGCAGTAGGGACCTTGCTCTCCAAAATTTGGGGGTTGTGCTTTGGCTGGGCTGGCAATAGCCTAAGGGCCTGGTGTAGACACTTGCCTTGGTTTTGGCTCCCTTGCCAGCAGTGGCTTTCTCTAGCAGCAGCTCTAACAAAATTTACAGAGAAAGGAACCATTTTTCTCATTTGTGGAAGCAACATTTAAGAAAACTTGGTCAGGACACTGGCTGACCACAGAGATAATGAAACAGAAACATCAGTGACTATACACAACAAGGAACATACACACTGGTAAAATAGTTTGGAAAAGTCACAAATAGATAGTTCTAGTCCTCAACAAGTGAAAAACATAGTGTCTAGTTCACAACAAAAACTTATAAAACAAACAAACGGGAAAATATGATCTATTCACAAGAAAAAAAAGAATTTGACAGAAACCACACTTGATGAAGCAGAGGTGTTGAAATTAATAGTCAAAGATCTTAAATCAATGGTCTTAAATGCACTCAACAATGATCTAAAGAACACTTGACAGAAAACTAAAGGAAATCAGGTTTCTCAATAAGATTAACAGCCAATTTCTCACCAGAAACTATGGAGGTAAGGCAGTGGGACTACATATTTTAAGCCATGAAAGGAAAAAATATCAAGAATTCTATACCTGGCAATACTATCCTATAGGAATGAAGAAGGAATTAAGACATTTTCAGATAAACACAAGCTGAGGGAGTTCATTATCAATACATTTACCCTATAAGAAACGCTAAAGGGAATTCTTCATTTGAAATGAAAAGACTAGAGATTAGCTTGAATTAATAAGAAGAAATAAAGAACACTGGTAAAGCGTTATTATTACCTAATGATGTAGGTAAACATGGAAGCCAGCATTACTGCACTTTTGGTTTTAATTTTTTTCCAAAAGCAAATGCATAAAACAATATTTATAAATTTATGTTAACAGACACATAATATATAAAGACATACTCTGTGACAATAACAATATAGAGATAGAAGGAGGGAAATGTATAGGAACAGTGTACGTATCTTTCCAGATATTACTGAAACAGAGTTGGTATTATTCGAATTAGGTTGTTAAAATCTTAAGATGTTCACTGTAACCCCCAATGTAATCACTAAGAATATAAGTAGGGAAGCAAAATAATATACCACAAAAATTCAACTTAATACAAAAAGGGCAATAATGGAGTAACTGAGGAACAAAAATATATATGACATACAAATAACTAAATGGCAGAAGTAAATCGTTATCAGGAATTACTTTAAATGTAAATGGACTAAACGCTCCTATTAAAAAAGCAGAAGACTGCCAGACTGAAAAAAAAGAAACGTGATCTATTTATATACTGTCTACAAGAGACTCACTTTACATATGAAGTCACAAAAAGGTTGAAAGTAAAAGGACAGAAAAAGATATCCCATGCAAATAGTTACCAAAAAAACAGCTGAAGTAGCAATACTTACATCAGGCAAAATAGACTTTAAATCAAAGGCTATAACAAGAGACAAAGAAGAATGCAGCAATTCCACTTCTGGATATGTATCTGAAGAAATTCAGAACACTAATTTGAAAAGACATATGCATCCCTATGTTCACTGCAACATTATTTACAATAGCTAAGATATGGAAGCAACCTAAGTGTCCATTGACAGACTAATGGATAAAGATATGGTACATATATAACATACAACAGGATGCTACTCAGCCATAAAAAAGAATGAAATCTGTGATAACACGAATGGACTTAGAGAGTATTATGCTAAGTGAAGTAAGTCAGACAAAGAAAGACAAATACCATATGATTTCATTTAGATGTAGAATCTAAAAAAAACAAAACAAAATAAATGAACAAACAAAAAAGAAACCAACTCACAGATACAGACAACATTTTGATGGTTGCCAGATGGGAGGAGGGGTTATGGGGATGGGTGAAAAAAGGGAAGGGATTAAGATGTGCAAATTATCAGTTATGAAAACAGTCACGGGGATGTAAAGTACAGCATAGGGAATATAGTCAATAATATTGTAATAACTATGTATCATGTCAGATGGGTATTAGACTTATCAGGGGGATCATTTTATAAATTATATAAATGTCTAATCATTATGTTATACACTTGAAACTAAGATAATATTATATGTCAACTGTAAATAAAAAAAAAAATTATTTAAAAAGAAGAAAACAACAACAACAAAAACCTCCTAACAAAGAAAAGCCCAAGACTAGATTGCTTCACTGGTGAATTCTACCAAACAGCAAAGAAAGTTAGTAACACCAATACTTCTCAAAGTCTTTCAAAAAATCTGAGGAGTTGAGGGAATGGCTCCTAAATCATTCTATGAAGTCAGCTACCCTGATACCAAAGTCAAACAAAGACACTACAAGAAAACTAAAGGCCAATATCCCTTATAATTGCAAATGCCAAAGTCAACAAAATACTCGCAAACTGAATTCAACAGCATATTAAAAGGGTTATATATCACAACCAAGTGGGACTTATCCTCAGGATGCAAGGATAAGTCCAACATATGCAAATTGATCAATGTAATACACACTAAGAGAATGATGGAAATTCATCATCTCAACTGATGAAAGAAAGCATTCAACAAAATCCAATACTTTTTCATGATAAAAACACTTCATAAACTAAGAATAAAAGAGGATGTCCTCAACATGATAAAGGCCATATATAAAAAACCCACAGCTAAAATCATATTCAATGGTGAAAGACTGATAAGGATGTGCATTTTTGCTACTTACATTCAACACGGTACTAGAAACCAGAGCATTCAGGCAAGGGTTGAAAAAAAAAAGGAAAAAAGGAAAAAAGGAAAGAAGACAGAATGAATGAGCAACCAAATTAGAAAGGAAGAGATAACGTTATCTCTGCAGAGACATGACATGCATGTTCTATGTACAAAATCCTAAAGAATCTACCAAAAAAAAAAAAAGACACGTTAGAACTAATAAACAAATTTAGCAAAGCTGCAGGATATAAAACCAACATACAAAAATCAGTTGCATTTCTACACAGTAGCAAAGAACAGTTTTTTGAAATTATATTAACAATTACATTTAAAATAGTACTAAAAGGAATAAAATGCATAGTAATAAATTTAACAAAAGAGATGAAAGACCTGTATACAAAACACTGAATGAAATTAAAGACAACCTTAGTAAATTGAAAGACATCTCTTATTCATGGATTAAAGACTTAATATTAAGGTGATAATACTACATACAAATTCAATGCTATCCCTATCAAAATCTCGATGGCTTTTTTTTTTTTGCAGAAATAGAAAAACCCATCCTAAAATTCATGTGGAATTTCGAGGGATCATGAATCCTCAAAACAATCTTGAAAAAGAACAAAACTGGAAGACTAACATTTCTAAGTTTCAAAAATGACCACAATACTAGAGTAATCAAAACAATGTGGTATCAGCATAAGGACAGACGTATAGACCAATGGAATAGAACTTAGAAATAAACTTTATGTGCAACTGACTTTCGACAAAGGTGCCCAGATCATTCCATAAGGAAAGGCCACTCTTCAGTTAGTGCTAGGAAAACTGGATATTCACATGCAAAAGAATGAAGTCAAACCTTTTACTATATATAAAAATTAACTAAAAATGGAACAAAGGCTTAAACTAAGAGCTACAAGCATAAAACTCTTAAAAGAAAACACAGGAAAATCTTCATGATATTGGATGACAGTTTCTTAAACATGACACCAATTACACAGATAATAAAAGAAAAAAACATAAACTGAACATCTAATTTTAAAACTTTTGTATATCAATAGACACTATCAAGAGTGAAAAGACAATCCATAGAACGGGAGAAAACATTTTAAAATTATATATATGGTAAGGGACTAGTATCCAGAATATATAAAGAACTCTTACAACTCAAAAATAGACAAACACTCCAATTAAAAAATTGGAAAAACTTGGATATTTCTCCAAAGAAGATATACAAATAACCAACAAGCACATGAAAAGATGCCCAACATCACTAATCATTAGGGAAATGCAAATCAAAACCATAATTAGATACCACTTCACACCTACTGGGATGGCTATTATCAAAACCCAGAAAATAGTAAGTACTGACAAGGATGTGGAGAAATTGAACCTTCCTGCATTGCTAGGGGGAATGAAAAATGATGCAGACACTGGAAAACAGTTTGGTGATTCCTCAAAATGTTAAAATAATAATTATCATATGACCAACAAATTCCATTCCTAGGTTTATACTGAAAAGAACTGAAAACAGACTCAGATATTTGTACATTAATGTTCACAGCAGCATTATTTACAATAGCCAAAAAATGGAAAAAATGCAAATATTCATCAACAGATGAGTGGATAAACAAAATGTGGTATATCCATACAATGGAATATTATTCAGGTATAAGAAGGAATGAAGTTTTGATACATGCTAAAGCACAGATGAACCTTGAAAACAGTTTGTTAAGTAAAATAAGCCAGACACAAAAGGACATACATTGCATGATTCCACTTATATGAATTATCTATAACAGGCAAATTCAGAGACAAAAAGTATAGCAGGGCTTACCAGGGGCTGGGGGAAAGAGAATGGGGAGTTATTGTTTAATGAGTATAGAATTTCTGGGATGATTAAAGTTTTGGAAATAGTGATGATGGTTACAAAGCATTGTGAATGTATATGCCACTTAACTAAGCATTTAAAAGTGGTTAAAACAGTAAATTTTGTTATATATTTTAGCACACATACAGACACACACACAAAAATGGGAGAAACAATAGATGTCCTTATATACTATTAAGTGTCCAATAGTGTCTGGCACATAGAAGGTCCTCAAGAATATGTACTGAATAAACCTATCACATCTGCTAACATTTAATTCCACATTACCATCTTGAATTTTTCTGAGGGTTTTACATAAGAGATGATGGATTAAGAAAAAAAAATGTGGTTAAACCAAAATCAGGAGCAGAACAAAAAATACAAATAGGGTGGCTAACAAGCATGAATTTAGCCTAACACAGAGAGCAAGACCAAGCCAAATGAAAAACAAAGGCAGAGATCTAAGAGTAAAATAAGCAATCACTTGAATTCTGAGGATCTTTTTCTCCTACTAGTTCCCAGTCCCAGTGGCATTGCTCTAGTTTCCTTTTAATTAAGCATATCTAATATAAAGTTACCATACAGTCATCACTAACACTCACTTCGTGATAGAGTTTATTGTTTCTTGGCAAAAGGTGAAAACGTTGAGACTCTTACCATTTCGTAAGCAAATGTTTCTTGTCTGCAGACACGATCTATCGTTATGGTTTCTTCCCGATGTTCCAAAAGTTTCTTTCTTACTCTGTTATACATAGAAGAAAAATTAAACTTCATTCTTTACTGGGGCTTCAAAATCATCTGTAATATTTAATTGTTTTATTTTGAACTAATTTTAGACTTAAAGCTGCAAAAATAGTACAAAGAGTTCCCTTACTTGTATCTCTCACCTAGCTTCCCTTATGTTAACCACTTACATGATCACAGAATAATTATCGAGACCAGGAAATAAACATTAATACAGTATTATTAATCATAGACCTTTTTTAAACTTCACAAGTTTTTAAACTGAATGCCTTTTTTCTGTCCTAGGATCCTATGCAGGATGCCCCACTGCATTTCTTATTTCTCCCTTTTCCTCCAGTCTTTTATAGTTCTGCAGTCTCTCCCTGTCTTTTACAATCTTGACACCTTTGAAGAGCTCTAGTTATTTTGTAGAATGTCCTTCAATTTGGGACTGAATGCTGTTTCCTCATGATTGGAGTAAGCCTATACATTTTTGGCAAGAATATCACAAGAATGATGTTGTACTTCTCACTGTTATCACAACATTCATGATATTAATATGTCTTATTACTGGAGTTGTTTACCTTGATTAAGTTCTTGTCTGCCAGGTTCCTATTTCCTTTGTACTTGATAAGTATTTAGGGGAGATACTTTGAAACTATGCAAATCTTGTTTCTCCTTAAATTTTCATCCAGGAATTTTAGCATTCATCAGATTCTGTCTGCAACATTTATTACTGTGATATATATCTAGTAGAGATTCTCAATTTCCCTCATTCTACATTTATTCATTGACATTATGAGGAAGACCTCTTTCCTCTCATTATTTGATCATTGACATTGGCATGAACTCATGTTTATTTTACTCTATAGGATAAAATCTACTATTAACATTAGTTTGTTGCTCTAATTGTTCTAGTTTTGTCCATTAGGAGTTCCTTTAATTTAGCTCCAGTTCTTTCAACAAGCCATCATCTTTTTTTTTTTTTGCCTTTTTTTCCAAAAGCCATTCTTTTTTTTTTTTTTTTTTTTTTTTAGCACATTTCCTTCCTTTCTGGCACCCTAAGATGCTCAAGGCTCATCCTGTATTTCCCTGTCTCGGCCCTGGAATGAACCACTTTTCCTAGGAGCCCTAGTTCCTTTAATGGAGAGAAGTGTTTGGAGAGCAGTATCTGGGCACCAGACAATCTCGTCATTACTACAGTCACTGCTTCTAGGCTTCTCAACAGAAAAAGGTAGGAAACTCATATGTGTACCAACCCACACGTGTACAAATATCTGTATTTTGGTACTTTTCTATCTGTTATATATTTAAAACCATGAGTTAATACTGATACTTCCAACCTCAAACTAAAATCACAGGATTCATTTTAGCTTTTAACCTTTCCTTGTTTATAACTTCTGCCTCCACAGGTGAGAAACTCAACTTCCATTATTTACAATCTATTAACTTATCTGTTTAACTCTAGAAAATAGTTTTAGAATTGCTAACCAACATCCCTGTGAGAAACACTATCTCATGAACAGTTCTTTAGTCTTTAGCCTTACAGCAGTGAATCAAAATATGCTTTTGTACAAAGCTCAGATTAGCTTTTTCCTCCCCCATTTTCTTCAGTGTCATGATGTTATTCATTTGTAACACATTTCACTTGTTAGCCTTGTATTCTATTCTGAGTTCTCCCACCCAATTAGTTAAAACCTAACTGTCCAATTACTTTGGAGGTACGTGAAAGACATGTGAAACATGATAGTTCTAAGATTCAATACACACACACACACACACACACACACACACTCTCTCTCTCTCTCTCTCTCTCTCTCTCTCAGTGAAGTGTCATTCCCTCTCTGTCCCTACTACCCTGTTCCCATTCCCTTCTTACTTTCTATCCCTTTACTACTCCCCAACTCTGCAGGTAACCAATCTCTATAGTTCTGATTTATCCTTTCCATTTCCTTTGTTCAAATCACCAGACACCTATGTATTTTTTTATATTCCTTTCTGTATCAGTCTGAGTTCAATTAGAAAAAAAATTAAAGAGTAATTTGAACGAGAAAGTTTAAACTAAAATATTATGAACTTTAACAAAGGGCTGGAGTAATGAAGGATTGGCAAGTAAAAAGTAGACAACTCTAGAGAAAGAATACAGAAATAAAAATAATAATAAAAAGGAGCACCCTACCCCTTGATCTGAGAAAGAGTGCCCAAGAAGTCTCCTTTTTCTCCCCCCAGGACTGGGAACCAGGCCCTGTTGGAGAGGGCATGTCTGTGACTCACTGAACAACAAAGAAATTGCCATGATGCTTCATCAGTGGATCCTGCTCAAATCTACCCTCAAGGGTTTCAGAAAAAGCTGTTTAGGGAAGTTGTTAAGGAGAGTGGTTTGGCAGGGAAAGCTGCTGGGTGATAGTTGCTAATGACTGACAGGTACTATAGGAGCTGGGCACTAGGGAGGCTATGTGCACTGCAGGACTCAAACAGAAATTCTATACCCATTAAACAATAGCCCTTCATTCTCCGCCCCCTGAGCCCTTGGTAACCTCTGTTCTACTTTCTGTCTCTGTGGATTTGCCTATTACAGATAACTTCATAAAAAAGAAATCATGAAATATTTGTGCTTTTCTGTCTGGCTTATTTTACTTAACATGTTTTCAAGGTTCATCTGCAAGAAGGCCCAGGAGCATTAGGACTATTTGGTCTTTGAATGTTTGAATTCTCCTGTAAAACTATCTGGACCTGGAATTTTTAAGGAATAGTTCCTTAGAAAACTTTATTTTTCTATGAAAATCAGTCTACTTAAGGTTCTAACTCTAACATGGTTAATTTCAGTAGTTTATATTTCCCTAGGAAACTATCTAGTTCACCTAGGTTTTCAAATTTATTTCTGTAGAGCAAGAATTGGCAAACCTTTCCTTAAAGGGCCAAATAGTAAGTGGTAAATATTTTGGGTTGTGAGCTGGATGGTCAGATGGTCTCTTTCACTACTCAACTTACTACTGTAGTACAAAAGCAGCCAAAGCCAATACGTAAAATAATGGATATAGCTGTCTTGATAAACCTTTACGTCAAAACACAGGTGGCCAGTAAGTTATAGTTTGCCAAACCCTGCAATGAAGTCTCTTATATTTTAAAAATGTGTTCCAATGGTTATTTCTCCCTTATTTTGTATGTTTGTGCTTTCTTCCATTTTTTTAAATTAATCTATTTAGCTAATGGTTTGCCTATTTTATAAATTATTTCAAAAAGCCAAGATTTTGATTAATTAGATCCATCCTTTTCCTATTCTCTCCCTCATTAATTCCTGCTTTTATTACTATTATTTCTTTTCTTTATAATTTCTTTTAGTTTACTTTGCTGTTCATTTTTAGTTTTCTGAGCTGGGAATTTAATTCACTTATTTTTATTCTTGTACTTTTAATAGACTGTTAAAATAAATTTTCCTCTAATCATGGCTATAAATGTATTGCTTATAACATGTGTTGTTTTCAATGTCATTATTTCTTTAAAATTCTGTATTTCATTGTGTATTTTCCCTTTTGTCCATGTGTTATTTAATAAATTTTAAAATTTCCAAATGAACAGACTGATTTTTATTTTTGTTAGGGAATTCTAGTTTTATTATGTTGTGATCAGAGAGTGTTGTTTGTAGTATTTCTACTTTATGGAAGTTACTAATGTTTCATTTGTGACCTAATATATAATCAATTTTTATGAATGTGCCACAAAGTCTCCATTATCAGGTTGTAAATTTTATGTGTATATATATCTCCATAAGGATATCAACATATCCTACTATGTTGTTTAGAGCTTTTATTTCCTCACTTTTTTTTTTTTTTTAACGAGTGGTCTGTCTTGTGCTGAAACTGGTAAAGTATCCTACTGTTAGTGTGTTTCTAGTTATATTTCCTTCCATCTTCCATAGTTTTGCTTTATAAAGTTGGCTATTTTATTTTATTTATTCTGTCATTCTAATGAAGCCTGGGTATCTTATTGGGTTTCTTTCTTTTCTTTTTTTAATTATTTGTTTCGTTGGTAGAGTCCTCCAATTGTGTGGTTTTCTTTTCTTTTTCTTTTTTTGTAGAATTCTAAAGTTCCCCCTTTTCATCCTTTAAATGGTATAATGAACAGTGCTTTCTTGGTCAGAGAAATGAGAGGGATGGGCAGACTAATCTAGATGAAATTGCTATTATATTAAAAATAATGTTGCTCACACTTTTGAGATGACAGATACATTTCAGTAGCACCAATGTAGTAACAATTATCTCTCCTATTCCTAGGAATTAAAATCTTCTCTTTAAGTAATCAAAAAATTTTAAAAGTGATGGAGATTAAATTATTTAGCTTGCAATGGATTAAAGAGAGCAGCATGGTAGAGAATCAATCTCTACCAACTGCCTTTTCCCACCTTACATGCACAAAATGAGTGCAATAGCTCCTCTGTTAGACTAGGAAAAGAGTAAGCGGTAGAAATTTATTTTCTGCCATATTAAATGGGTCATGTACTTAGATTTTGTTTTTATTTTTGTGTTTTTAAGTTATTGGTGGGGAGAAGGAAGGTTTAGAGAAAAAACGTGTAGAGATATAGATTTTGGCTTTTGGCATAAGTCTAATTTATTTGTGGCATTGTTAAGATTAATATTAGTCATATTTTAAATATAACAGTTTCAAAGTACATCAAAATAATCCCAGCTGAGGAAAGCTATACTAACTCCTTTTATGTTAGATTATATATATAATTCTACCCACATTTCTTATGGAAGGAAAGACAACCTAGGAGAGCCAGGTGATCTAATAAAACAGCCAGAGGAAGCAAAGTGTAAAGTAGTCTGAAAATTACTATATAACATGGCTTAATAAAATCATTATAAGCCAATTAGTATGTTATTAACTCTAACAAAAAGTCTGCTTTGTTTGGAATTATCATCAGCCAATCTCTAAAAGTCACTTCCTCAGGTTTATGAAAATTTCATTATTTCACTCATTCTACAAACATCTACTGACTCTCCAATTATGTGCCAAGTTCTAGGAAGTGGGGATATAGCAGCAGGTGTGTGACAGATAAAACTTATGGAACTTTTAAGTCTAACTAGGAAGATAGAAAATTAAACAGGTATATTATGAGTTTGATGAGTATTTCAATAGAGAAGTATGGGGGACTACATAAGCTTAAAAGGGGATCTAAATGGATTCCTTAATCTTTCACTAACACTAGAAGGATGACTAGAAGCCAGCAAACTAGAAGGAAAAGGAAGAGTGAGTGTTCTAGACAAAGGCATGGAGTGAGAGCACACTCCCGGAACTAAAAAACACTGTACTGTGGCTGCAGCACTGCAGAGACAGAGCTGAAAGGATCAGTGAAATCCATTCTATAAAAGCCCTGGTGAGCTTCTTAAGAACTCAGGACTTTTGCTTAAGAGCCACTGAAAGGTTTTAAGAGAGAGTAACACAATCAGATACACAGTTTAGAAAAATCCAACTAATCGATCAACAATTAAGAGCACCAATTGGAACTAGGCAGCACAACAGGTTTAAAAGCAATACACCGATGAGTCTGGATTCCCAATGGGCCTTCAAAGACTTTAGAAATGTCAGAAGACTTAGACATTACAAGTGCATCTACTCCCTAAAACAGAGTGTTGTCGCAATGTGGAAAGGAATCTTAGGGTCTCAAAAATGGGGTACGTTTCAGGTGGGTCACATGCATCCTAAATTGTTGAACTTTTATTGTGTTTGCTTTTTAATTCCATTTTCCTAATAAATCATTTTTATCCTATTTTACAAAAGTATGGATGTGTCAAAAATAAAAAAAAAACAAAACACAAAAAACTGGTTTTTTACCATAGACAGTTTGAGAAGCACTGAATATTTAGCTTGCACCTAAAATCTATCTGAGTAGATTAACTGTACCTTTGTAAACACACATTTAAAAATAAACACAAATTTGAATATGGATAGTATATTAGAGGGTATGTATTTACTGCTAATTTTCTTAGGTGTAATACCAATGATTATGTAGCAGAATGACAATTTTAGGAGTATAGGCTGATGTATTTAGGAGTATATTATCATGCTGTCTGCAACTAACTGAACGGTTCAG